AATCTTAGCTATTTTATTTCTTTTTTTGTGTGTGAAAAAACGCCTTCTGCCAATAGACAATCCTGCACCTGTCTGCGACACCCTCTCATTCTCTGAAACTCAATTATATAAGCTATATTTTAATACAACAAAACAAATTCCTCAGCATCTCAAAATATACTGCCTCCAGTCTGACCTTCAGGTGAGGTTTCATCATCCTGATCTACAGCCTTTTCCTAACAAAAAAAAGGCCTGTAGGCAATGTTTCCTCCTTTTCTTTTCATGTTTACACTAAAGGGAAGAGGGCGATAATACGATGGGCAATTAATAATGGAAAATACACACGCATGCACACCCTCACGCACACACACGCACACAGGCACGCACACACACGCACACACACGCACACAGGCACGCAGACCCACACTGGCACACACAGGCACGCACACACACTGACACAAGAACACAGGCGCGCATACAGGCACGCACACACACATACACACACTAAAAGTTCTCAGAATCAGAATCAGAATCATTTTTATTGCCACGTAAGTAACAGGAGGTCACAGACTAGGAAATTGCTTTGGCTCAGTGCAACAGTCAAAAAGAGATAATAAAAATAAGAATAAAAAACACTTCTAAAGAATAAATTTAAATTTAAAATAGAGTTACAGTTACTATTTACAATATACAAGTGCACATGGTGCACACAATGTAAGGTGACAGCAGTACAGTGAAGTAAAGTGACGTATGATGGGCAGTAAAGTGACTTTATAAAGGGCGGGGGGACAGGTTAAGAAGTGTTCAAGAGTCCAACAGCAGAGGGGAAGAAACTGTTCTTGTGGCGGGAGGTTCTAGTCCTGATAGACCGCAGCCTCCTGCCTGAGGGGAGTGGTTGGAATAGTCCATGTGCAGGGTGAGAGGGGTCGGCTGTGATACGACCAGCCCGGCCTCGAGCTCGGGCGACGTACAGGTCCTACAGCGATGGAAGGCTGCGGCCGATCACTTCCTCTGCAGAGCGCACAATGCGCTGTAGTCTCTGTTTGTCCCTGACTGTGGCTCCAGCGAACCACACGGTGACGGAGGAGGTGAGGATGGACTCGATGATGGCCGTGTAGAACTGCACCAACATCTGTGCAGGCAGCTTGGCTTTCCTGAGCTGCCGCAGGAAGTACATCCTCTGCTGGGCCTTCTTGATGAGGGAGCTGATGGTCGGCTCCCACTTGAGGTCCTGGGTGATGGTGGTGCCCAGGAAACGGAAGGACTCCACAGAGGTGATGGGGGAGTCCATCACGGAGGGTGGGGGTGGGGGGACAGTGCTCTTCCTGAAGTCCACAATCATCTCCACTGTCTTCTGGGCGTTCAGCTCCAGGTTGTTACCACTGCACCAGGACACCAGCCGGTCCACCTCCCTCCTGTAGGCGGACTCATCGTTGTTGGAGATGAGTCCAATGAGGGTGGTGTCGTCCGCGAACTTGATCAGCTTCACGGAGTCGTGGCTGGAGGTGCAGTGGTTGGTGTACAGGGAGAAGAGCAGGGGAGAAAGAACACAGCCCTGTGGGGCTCCTGTATTTATAATCCGAGAGTCCGAGACATTCTTCCCCAGACGCACTCGCTGCTTCCTGTCCGTCAGGAAGTCAGTGATCCACCTGCAGGTGGAATCGGGCACGTTGAGCTGGGAGAGCTTGTCCTGGAGCAGGGATGGCAGGATTGTGTTGAAGGCAGAGCTGAAGTCCACGAACAGGACCCTGGCGTAGGTCCCCAGGGAGTCCAGGTGCTGTAGGATGTGGTGGAGGGCCAGGTTAATGGCGTCGTCTACAGATCTGTTGGCTCTGTAGGCGAACTGCAGGGGGTCCAGGAGGGGGGAGGTGAGGGACTTGAGATGGGAGAGAACCAGGCGTTCAAATGACTTCATGACGACAGACGTAAGTGCTACAGGTCTGTAGTCATTGAGTCCTGTGATCCTGGGCTTCTTCGGGACGGGGACAATGATGGAGGATTTGAAGCAGGCCGGGACATGGCAGGACTGCAGAGAGGTGTTGAAAATGTCCGTGAACACAGGAGTAAGCTCACTGGCGCAGTGTCTCAGAGTGGCCGGAGACACGTGGTCCGGGCCAGGAGCTTTGCGGGGGTGCAGCCTCAGGAAGAGTTGTTTAATCTCTTTAGCGGCTATTGTTAGGCTGGGGGCAGGGCTGATGGGTGGGTCGTTAGAGTAGTGGGGGGTGGGGGAGGGAGAGGTGTCAGGGGCAGCATCAAAGCGACTGAAAAATAAGTTCAGATCGTCAGCTAGCTTGTGGTCGTCAGCACTGGGGGGGGCTTTGGGTTTGTAGTTGGTGATCTCCCGTAGGCCCCTCCAGACAGAAGCAGTATCGTTGTTACCAAACTACTCCTGTAGTCGTTCTCTGTGCCGGGACTTGGCTGCTTTCAGTTCTCTCCTGAACTGATATTTAGCTGCTTTGTAGCCGCTGCGGTCCCCCTCCCTGAAAGCAGACTCCTTTGCTTTCCTGAGCTGCCGGAGTTTAGCAGTGAACCAGGGTTTGTCGTTGTTATAGATGACCCTGGTCCTTGTTGGAATGATGCTATCCTCACAGAAGTGAATGTATGACGTCACAGTGTCCGTATATTCATCCAAACTATCTGTGGCAGCTCTGAAAAGGTCCCAGTCTGTAGATTCCATGCATGCGCGCAGCTCTTCCACAGCTTCATCAGACCACACTTTGGAGCTCCTCATTGCAGGTTTCGAGAGCTTTAGTCTCTGTCTGTAAGCAGGAACCAGATGTATCATGGAGTGATCTGAGAAGCCGAGGGCTGGCTTGGGAACAGCGCGAAAAGCTCCGCGCACGGTGGTGTAACAGTGATCCAGAGTGTTCTCCTCTCTGGTCGGGCATTTGATGAACTGTCTGTATTTGGGTAATTCCTGGCTCAAGTTTCCCTTATTAAAATCCCCCAGGATAATAATCAGAGAGTCCGGGTATAAGCGTTCCATACACAGTACTTGCTCTGCAAGTGCGCGCTGAGCCTCGCGCGCGTCCGCGCATGGCGGTATGTAAACAGAGGCAAGAATGAATGAAACAATTTCGCGCGGGGAGTAATATGGTTTACAATGAATGAAAAGATATTCCAGAGCAGGAGAGCAGTGCTTGGAGATCACTGTCACATCGTTACACCAGTTTGTATTGACGTAGAAACACAGCCCTCCGCCTCTGCTCTTCCCTGAGAGCGCACAATGGCGATCCGCGCGGAACAGCCCAAAGCCCTGCAGCTCCAGAGCGCAGTCCGGGATCCGCTCATTTAGCCAGGTCTCAGTGAAGCAAAGGACACAGGATGTGGCGAAGTCCTTGTTTCTTCTCATGAGCAGGCTGAGTTCGTCCATCTTATTGCCCAGTGAGCGTACGTTGGAGAGAAAAATGCCGGGGAGAGCCGTGCGCGCTCCTCTCCTCCTAAGACGCACGAGCAGGCCTCCGCGCTTTCCCCTTTTACGGGCCCACACTTTTTTGGCTAGAACATGAACTAAATCAGCCGCAGATGCCAAGGCAACAGGCAATAGGTCCATGGGAACGGTGGGTCGGATGTTCATAAGTTCCTCACGGGTGTAGGAACAGCCAGATGCGCAGTTAAAAAGTAAAAACAAAAGAAAAAGAGAGCAGCAAAGAGCCATGTCGACCGTACGAGGCGCCATCTTAAATAAAAACTTACTTACTTACTTACTCTTAAGGTTAAATTCTACAAACTGAACAAGTAATGCGCTGCAGTACGTGTGTCTGTTTCATCACGACTTGGGCACATGTGTGAGTCCAACAACCCAAAACATTAGTATACAGCACCGGCTCCACACGGAGTCAGGGTGCGTTCACAGACGGGGGAAACCGTGGGAATTTTTAGCTTTTGGCGGAAAAAGTGCGGAAGATTCTCAAGATTAACATTATTACATTGCCGTCTTCCGAGGGGGGCACTGGGGGTGGCAAGGATATTTTTAGAGGTGGCAGTGGCCACCCTGGCTACCCCTCTGGCTCCGCCACTGCGAAGATCTGGAGTTTGCTCTGGGAGGTGAGTCAGTAAACAGTGATTTTATTTTGCTCGCTGGTCAATAAAGCACTGCGCAGATAAGAGTTTTAAGAATTTCCTCACAAGTCCAAAAGAAAACCCCAAAAGCCACTCTATCCCCCAGGTCCGAACCCTTCACCAGGGCTGTTGTAAATGTCGGTCCATTGAGCTCATTCTCCTTGTGAGCTTACTAAAGAGTTCATGGAAAAGATGTTCTGAGCAGTCTGTTACCTTCACTCACACTGAAAGTAAACATGTACCTTCATTCTGGAATATTCCCAAAAGCCGTGAAAACTGCAGTCATCAGGCCCCTTCTAAAAAAGAGCAGGCTGGATGCTACGGTACTTAACAACTATCGTCCCATCTCAAATCTGCCATTTATGGGGAAAGTCCTTGAAAAAGTTGCCTACAGCTTACTAGATTTCTTATAATCAACAACTCATTTGACATGTTTCAGTCCGGCTTTAGACACAAAACTGAAATTATTGTTTTTGTCTCTGTCTCAGAGTCACAAGGACATACAATACAGCCCTAACTCACAACAGAAGTCATCTCAGAGGACGTAACAAAACCATTGAAATCACCAACACAGATCAGAGAATCAACAGTTAACACACAAAAAAGGAATATAGAACAAATATTGATAAATGTCATACATGTTGATAAATGTCATACACGTTGATAAATGTCATACATGTTGTAGAATGTTAAAGTGTCCTGGATCATCACCACAGACTGCTCCTCAGTCTCTCATTACACAGACAATGGGACAACGGGTGAATAGCAATGAACAAACTACAGTCAAAATCCTAATAATGACTTCCGGCTTAGCAACTAATGGAGTAAGACGTGCTTTGGGGGGGCTCCCGTGAAAACGTTTAAAATTGTATGCCAGGGTCTTTTATTACTCTGTGGTGACTGATTGTGGGACTCAAATTACACTTCTGAGCACTTTTTGAATTTTTTTTGCTCTCGACATGCCTCCGAAACCTAAAGTTTTGAGCACCTCCGCGGCAGCACATGCGCGGCCTAGTGCTGCGACTACGTCCTCGCCCTCGAGTGATCCAGCCCCGAAGCAACTAACCTCACCTCCGGCTCTGGATTCAGTTTCCGAAGACTTCAAGACTGAGCTACTCACTAGCCTTCGTGAGGAGGTGGTAAACGTGTTTAGAGCAGAGTTGGCGATGGCTATGTCAGATAATCTGTCCAAAATAAAAGCGGAGCTACGAGAAGTGAAAGCTGAGCTAAATGTTAGCATAGCGGCCGTGAGCATGGAGGTTGGCGAGCTGAAGAAGACTGTGCGGGATATGGAGGGTTCACTATCAACCTGTACGGATGATGTTGTTTCACTCCAATCTAAAGTTGAGAGACTTGTCAACCAGGTTACTGCATTGGAAAACAAATGTGACAACCTAGAGTCAAGGAGCCGCCGCCAGAATATAAGGATTGTGGGTTACTCGGAGCAAAATGGTGCTATCAATGCTAACACGGTGTCGATTATGCTAAAAGAGGCTTTTGGTCTGGATAAACCACCTCTGATTGACCGCGCGCACAGATCTCCTCCTCAGCCTTTACCAGGTGCTCGGCCCCGTCCTATCATCGCACGGTTGCACTACTACGCGGACTGTGTTGACATCCTGAGGCGTGCCCGTGCTCAACAGCGGATCAAGATGGGGGAAGAGGTGATCTCCGTATTCCCGGACTACACTTCCCGCACATCCAGAGCCAGAGCTGCCTTCAACGACGTACGACGCCAGCTTAAGGACATACCAGATATACGGTTTGGCATAGTACACCCTGCTCGTCTCCGAATTACAAGTAATGGGAACACGAGAGAATTTACATCTCCAGGGGAGGCCAATGTCTTTGTTAAAACTCTCTTGTGAAAAGTGAAAACTTTGAAGTGAGACTGTTTTGTACCTAAGTTGCTTTTCATTTGATATGACACGTATTTTATACTGTTAGTTTACACGGTACAGTTGTATATGGGGAGGCATTGTTCTGCCACTGATGTTAAAGTAAGTTTTATACTGTGATAATTTCTTGGAGTATGTATATAATTGCTTACACAGAGATTAATAATGATTTTAAAGTATGTATTTTATTTTTTTTCATTGTTTGAGTCGAGACCATGTGTCCTTTACAGTGTTTTTTATTTTTATTTTTTTTTAATTCCAATTTGTTTCTTTCCTACTACTGATAATTTGCCCTATTAGCCAAGTATATATGTTTATATATATATATATATATATATATATGTAAGCCGGCATTGTGCGGGTTTTATTTTACTTTTGTATTGCTGTGTGTTTGTTGTGCTTTTAATGAATCGCATGCCGTAGCCACTCCTACCACCTTACTGTCAGCAGCCAACTGGACGCCCCTGACAATCACCACACCTGCCTAAATGGGCAGACAGGCTCTTAAAACGACAAGAGAGCAGCAACAAGGGAGACTAACGGGAGACTAACGGAGACTAACAAAGACGGGCAGAGACGGGCACGGACGAACGGGACGAGCACGGAGACGAGAGCAGGCCACGGAGGAAGACCACGAGCGGGACCCGTCGAGTGCCAAAGAGGCGAACCGTGAAGCGATCTACACGCAGCGGCGGGGCTCATACCCCGCCTACGCAGTAAGTAGCGGTTCAAGACGCGTTTACCCCCCCGTGGCCTTTGCCATATATTCGTATGCTGTGTTCTGCTCCGGTGTGCTCTCTCCCCTAGAGGTCTACGGCCCTGGGATCCGCGGCGGCAGCTGGAGGGCTGCAATCCGGATAAAGAGCGAGGACGCAGAGTCACTGGGACGTACCGCGAAGCGACCTACACGCAGCGGCGGGGCTCATACCCCGCCTGCGCCGTAAGTAGCGGTCCAAGACACGTTTTACACTCCAGCCTTTGGCCCATATATGTGCTGTGCTCTGCCGGTGTGCTGTCTCCCCCTAGAAGCGGTGTGCGCCATTCACATTGGGGACGAGCGCCGTCTACCTGCCTCTGGCCCACGTTAGCCTCAGCCATTGGGGCACAATTCCCCCGGAGCCCCCACATCCGAGGTTTCTGGGTTTTAACGAAGGACTTTTATAACTTTTATCCTTGTCTTTTTATTTAATAAATACTGTATTTGTAAAGAGTTTTTGTCTCTTTGGAAACACCACCATCGCTCTCATCTGCCATAATCAGACAATTCGTCCCCTTTTCACTTCTACAAACTTCATCCTCGGCAATTAAAACCCCCCAACCATTACATAACTTGGCGTTGCTGACAGGATACACAATTCTGAGAGCTGGTGTTTCCAAAAAGGACAAACATGATGATGATGCCGATTTTTGCGGGCGCGCCGTGGTTACCTAAATTTAAAGGGCCAGACAGTGACTTGAAATACTCTGATTGGAAGGAACAGATAAAAGGGCTTTTGGGTTCACAAGATTTAACAGAGGCACGACAAGTTGAAATTATTATAGGGGCACTAGCTGGGGAGGCTAAGCGGCAAATCACTGTCTTAGAAAACGATGAGCGAGACCAGACAAGGAAGATTTTTGTTTATCTAGACTCAGTATATGGTGAGAAGACTCCAACACCCGTATTGAGATCACAATTTTTTGGCTGTACACAAAGAATGGATGAACCTGTCTTAACCTTCATTTTGAGGCTACGTGAACTCTATTCTAGATTGAGGCGCCAAGACCGTGAAAACCCCCCCTCCGAAAGTGCCTTGCGAGATCAACTGCTGCTAGGCTTGAGCGACAGCCCACTGGCCCAAGCTCTGAAGGTCTATGCTCGCCGTCACCCAGAGCTGGATTTCACAGAGCTACGTGAGGAGGCCAGGTTATTGGAGACTGAGTACGGCCGGGGTCAACCAGAGGTAACGTGTGCCTCAGTTCAAAAACATTATGACTCTCCTAAAACCCCACAGGGATTGGACTGGAAGGAGCAATTGAAGCGCGAAATCATGGAGGAGGTGAACGTCCAAATGAAGGGGCTGTCCCGTGATATCCTCGCTGAGCTTAAACCCCTGCTGCAGTCTGCCTCTCCCCAGTCAAGCCCCCCCAACACCACGTGGAACCGCCGGTATTCACCGAGACCCTATAATGACCGGGACGAGCAAGGTAGGCCTATATGTCACCGCTGTGGAAAGGCAGGACACATTGCTCGCCATTGTAGAGGCACATCCATCCAAGAGCAGCCTTTAAACGGTTAAACCCTGCTGCTGAGGTCCGAGCTGCAGGGCTAGTTAACACCCCACCACCCAATAGGGCCACTGAAACATTTGTTGGGAAATGTCCTACAGTAAAAATAGGCTTTGATGGAGTACAATTGGAAGGCCTTTTAGACACTGGGTCACAAGTTACCTTGATGGCAGAGAGTTTATTCAAGGAACATTTTACCCAAGATAAACTAGGAAAAGCTCCTACTCTATTCCAGCTTAGAGCAGCCAACGGACTAGAAATACCTTACATTGGCTACGCCGTGCTCAACCTAGAGGTTGAGGGTATTAAGGTCCCAGAGAGGGGAGTGGTCATAGTTGCAGACAATAAGTGTACTTCCCCTCTAATTATAGGAATGAACGTCATCATGGCTTGTTGGGATAACATCTTTAAGAGGTCAAAGATGCCTGCTCTCCCACCACAATTTAAACATCTGAGAGTGTGGCGGGAGGCGTTTGCCACCTGCAGCCGCATAGAAGTAGCCCCCACAGAGGACGGGTCAATGGGTTTCGTGAGGTTGGCCACGAAGAATAACATTTCAGTCCCTCCAAACAGTGAGATAGTGGTGTGGGGTCGTACTCGGATGGGGCGGGGTGGAACAGATTTCTGTGCCCTTATAGAGCCGGTTCCTGGGGCTAATATTGGTGGTGTGGGTGTGGCTAGAACGCTGGTCGAGGTGAGGAAAGGAAGAGTCCCTGTTCGCATTTGTAACCCCCACCCCTACAGTGTGTCTGTAGGTCGTTTTACGAGGTTAGGGCAGCTTTATCATATTGAAGAGGCAGATGTACATGGCCCAAATGACCCATCTCTGTTTCTTGAGGGAGACGACGTCGTAGCGGTAACCCTGGTAGATGTCACAACTTCGGCGGCTAACTCTGAGTTGCCCCCAGAGGTGAGCAAGCTGAAAACGCGCCCTGACTTGTCTGAGGTGCAGCAGGAGGAGCTGGAGGCCCTGCTGCAGAGGTGGGAGAAGGTCTTTGCCGTACATGACGAGGATTTTGGCCGGACTGACCTGGTGCAGCATAGAATCCCTACGGGCGATGCTGCCCCCATCCGAGAGAGGCACCGGCCAATCCCCCCAATGCTGTACAGAGAAGTAAAGACCCTTCTATCGAGCATGTTGGAAAAGGGAGTTGTCAAGGAGAGCTGTAGTCCGTGGGCAGCCCCTATTGTCCTCGTACGAAAGAAGGACGGGAGCTGGCGCTTCTGCGTGGACTATCGACGGCTCAACGCTGTAACCCATAAGGACGCGTTCCCCCTCCCACGAATCGAGGAGACCCTAACTAGTCTTGGCCAATCAGAATGGTTTTCGACCCTGGACCTTGCCAGCGGTTACTGGCAGGTCGGCATGCACCCCGCAGACCAAGAAAAGACTGCATTTACTACCCCGCTAGGCCTCTATGAATTCCAACGCATGCCCTTTGGCCTTTGCAATGCTCCTGCAACATTCCAGAGGCTGATGCAGCAGTGCTTAAATGGGCAGATAGCTGAATCCCTTTTAGTCTATTTGGATGACATCATTATTTACTCTCCAAATTTCTCTGCCCACCTCCAGCATCTAGACCAGGTGTTTGAGCGGCTGTGGCGCCACGGATTGAAGCTGCGTCCGGATAAATGCAGGCTCCTGCAGAGAGAAGTAACTTTCCTAGGGCATGTGGTGGATGGACATGGTGTGAGGCCGGATCCAGGGAAGATCGCCTCGGTCCTGGAGTGGCCTATCCCAACCACTGTGAAGCAGGTTAGAGCGTTCCTTGGCTTAGCTGGGTATTACCGCCGCTTCATATCAGGTTTTGCTAAAATTGCCAGGCCCCTTAATGGACTCCTGACCGGTATACCAGCTGACCGCAGATCCTCATCAAGGGCTATAACATGGACACCACAATGTCAGAGTTCTTTTGACTCCTTAAAGAATGCCCTAACCCAGGCCCCTGTGCTGGCTTATGCCCACTACGATAAGCCCTTCATAGTCTACACAGACGCGAGCAACCAGGGGCTTGGTGCTGTCCTATCTCAACATCAAGATGGTCAGGAGCGTGTAATTGCATATGCGAGCAGGAGCCTACACCCAACGGAGAAAAATGACGCGAATTACAGTTCCTTTAAACTTGAGTTGCTAGCCCTTAAATGGGCTGTGACTGAAAAGTTTAAAGACTTCCTCATAGGAGCTGAATTCACCATATACACAGACAATAACCCACTGGCCCACCTGCAGACGGCACACCTAGGAGCAGTGGAGCAACGCTGGGTGGCCCAACTCGCCCCATTCAACTACACGGTCAAATATCGGTCAGGTAAAAGCAATATCAACGCTGACGTTCTGTCTAGGTTTCCTGCTCCTGTTAAACAGGCCATACCACCCGTCGATGAGCTGGTGGATGCAGCTGCAGTGGAGGTGACGTCTGCGATTGAGTGGGGAGAGGCCCAGGCATCCGATCCCGATATCCAGGCAGTCAAAACGTTTGTGATGGAGGACCGCTTTCCAGGCCGTCTGGACCGCCGGGCATTGACTTCACGGGCCCAGAAGTTACTGCAACAGTGGCAGAGGCTGACGGTGAGAGATGAACTATTGTGCCGGACTGTGCTTGACAGACACACCCATGAGGAGCACCACCAGATCGTGTGCCCAAGCTCTTTGTGTGCAGAGGTGTGGAAGATGATTCATGAGGCTGGAGCCCATTTTGGACCAGACAAGACTCTCGCCCGCATCAGGCAGCAGTTTTTCTGGCCAGGCATGGAGGGGGAGGTACGATTGTTTCATGAGGGCTGTCTTGCGTGCGGACTTCAAAAGAGCCGCGTTGAACCACGCGCTGCATTACACCCCATTTCTACTGCATTCCCCCTTGAAGTAATCGCATTAGACTTTTTGACTTTGGGTCGCCCCGCAGACACATACCAGAACATTTTAGTTGCCACAGATTTGTTTACCCGTTTTGCATGGGCCATCCCCACAACTGATCAGTCGGCTCAAACCACAGTAAGAATGCTGTGGAAGGACATAATTCAACAATTTGGCTGTCCACTGAGATTCCACTCTGATCGTGGTCCAAATTTTGAGTCGGCGCTGATGCAACAGCTGTGCACCTTGTATGGCATAAATAAAAGCCGCACCACATCTTATCATCCTGCAGGCAATGGTGGTGTTGAGAGGTTTAATCAAACCTTGTTGCACATGCTCCGTTCCCTGCAGGAGGAAAGGCAAAACCGTTGGCAGGACTACCTACCTGAATTAGTCCATGCGTACAACAACACTGTACATAGCGCTACAGGTTATGCCCCTTCGTTTTTGATGTTTGGGCGGCATCTACGGCTCCCTGTAGACGTAGTTTTGGGCCCGCAGCCCCAACAGTCGCGGTTCGATCTGGCCGGGTGGGTGGGAGAGCACCATAGAAAGCTCTCTGTGGCGTACAACGTCGCTAAGCAGAAAGCAGACAGTGCAACTTCCCAGCAGAAACGACAGTTTGATAAACGTGCTAACGCTGCGCCTCTCTTACCTGGCGAGCGAGTCTGGTTGCGGAATAGACGAAGAGAAGGCAGGGGTAAACTGAGCACTTGGTGGCATCCTCAACCACATGTTATTTTGAACACTGTCGGAGATACTGGGGTCGTGTACACGGTGCGCCCTGAAAAGGGTGGGCGCGAACAGACTGTGCACAGGAATGCCCTGAAAGTTTGTACATTGCCCCCTGATGAACCTGTGTCACTGCCCAACCCAGTACCCATAGAGAGACATGAACTGCCAGTTGTCTACGGATTCTTTCCTGCTGGACCAGAACCACCGTTGGAGGAGCCCCAAGTTTTACCCCGCCGCTCCATCCGGCCGAACATTGGACAACTCCCTACGCGGTACAATGACTAAGTGACAATGGGACGTCCCCAGGGACTGGTAACGTAAAAGTGTGGGGGGGTGTAAGCCGGCATTGTGCGGGTTTTATTTTACTTTTGTATTGCTGTGTGTTTGTTGTGCTTTTAATGAATCGCATGCCGTAGCCACTCCTACCACCTTACTGTCACCAGCCAACTGGACGCCCCTGACAATCACCACACCTGCCTAAATGGGCAGACAGGCTCTTAAAACGACAAGAGAGCAGCAACAAGGGAGACTAACGGGAGACTAACGGAGACTAACAAAGACGGGCAGAGACGGGCACGGACGAACGGGACGAGCACGGAGACGAGAGCAGGCCACGGAGGAAGACCACGAGCGGGACCCGTCGAGTGCCAAAGAGGCGAACCGTGAAGCGATCTACACGCAGCGGCGGGGCTCATACCCCGCCTACGCAGTAAGTAGCGGTTCAAGACGCGTTTACCCCCCCGTGGCCTTTGCCATATATTCGTATGCTGTGTTCTGCTCCGGTGTGCTCTCTCCCCTAGAGGTCTACGGCCCTGGGATCCGCGGCGGAGCTGGAGGGCTGCAATCCGGATAAAGAGCGAGGACGCAGAGTCACTGGGACGTACCGCGAAGCGACCTACACGCAGCGGCGGGGCTCATACCCCGCCTGCGCCGTAAGTAGCGGTCCAAGACACGTTTTACACTCCAGCCTTTGGCCCATATATGTGCTGTGCTCTGCCGGTGTGCTGTCTCCCCCTAGAAGCGGTGTGCGCCATTCACATTGGGGACGAGCGCCGTCTACCTGCCTCTGGCCCACGTTAGCCTCAGCCATTGGGGCACAATTCCCCCGGAGCCCCCACATCCGAGGTTTCTGGGTTTTAACGAAGGACTTTTATAACTTTTATCCTTGTCTTTTTATTTAATAAATACTGTATTTGTAAAGAGTTTTTGTCTCTTTGGAAACACCACCATCGCTCTCATCTGCCATAATCAGACAATTCGTCCCCTTTTCACTTCTACAAACTTCATCCTCGGCAATTAAAACCCCCCAACCATTACATATATATATATATATATTTTTTTTTTTTATTTTTTTTTTTTTCTTTGAATATATCACGGGAGCCCTTCTAGGTTTGGAGTGTTGCATGGTTAATGCGCAGGTTCTTAGCTCTGAGTTTTTCCTTTTGGTTTTTGGCTCCTTGTGGAGTCGGCACTGGTGCCCTATCACCTGGGGATAGGGTTTTGGTAGGTGCAAGGGGGGGTGGTGGGTGGGGGCATGAGGGGAGGGGTGAGTTTTGTTTGGTTCATTCATTATTATTTTTTCTTTTTTTTATCCTTTTTTCTCTTTTTGGGGGGAGCTGGCAAAAGCATAAATTAAAAAAGAAAAAGTATCAATCCTTTCATTGCTATAAATGGCCAATACAGTAGGTACGTTTGTTAAGTTTGTTAGTTGGAATATTAAAGGTTTGGGAAGTGCTGTTAAACGATCTAGAGTGTTCACTCATTTGAAACGTTTAAAACCTGATGTCATTTTTTTACAGGAGACACACATGAGAAATAAGGATCAGGTCAGATTGAGATGTCCATGGGTGTCTGAAGTCTTCCATTCTAACTTCAACAGTAAGGCCAGGGGGGTTGCCATCTTGATTGGTAAATCTGTTCAATTTACACTAACTAATTTTATTTCTGATAGAGACGGCAGGTATTTGATTGTTTTGGGCACTATTTTTAACTCTCCAGTTATACTGGTTAATGTATATGCACCAAACTTTGACAATCCAGGGTTCATGAATAGATTGTTTGGAAGTCTGCCTTCACTCGATAATCATTATTTGATATTTGCTGGGGACATGAATTGCTCAGTTAACCCACTTTTAGACCGCTCCAGACCTAGCTCTGTCCATTCCCAAATGGCTAAAACGCTCTCCTCTTTCATGTCCAGTGGAGGCTATGTTGATCCGTGGAGATCTCGCAACCCCTATAGTAGACAGTACTCTTTTTATTCTCATGTACATCATACTTTCTCTCGTATAGATTATTTCTTCATAGATGCCAAACTTTTGCCTAAGGTTAAAGACATAACATACCATCCAATAATTATATCGGACCACTCTCCAATTTCGATGGATATTCAGATTTCACAGGGTCCCCGTTACTCATCGCCATGGAGATTTAATATCTCCTTGTTGTCAGATGACAAATTCTGTACATTTATTACTAAGGCGATAGACGAATTCATCTCTTTTAATCAGAGTCTTACCCCATCTCTAAAGCTTTGCTGTGGGAGTCGTTAAAAGCCTACCTGCGGGGCCAAATTATTTCATATTCCGCACACGTAAAAAAAATAAGAGAATCAAAGGTAAAAAAGTTATCCGCTGAGATAAAATCCATTGATCAACAATTAGCAGTGACCCCATGTGAAAACTTAGTGAAGCGTAGAGTGGTTTTACAAACTGACTTAGACCTTATCACAACATCTGAAGCAGAGCGTTTATTACTGCATTCTCACACTAAATATTACGAACATGGTGAGAAGTCAGGAAGATTATTAGCTCATCAATTGCGTCGTCAGGCATCCTCTCGATTAATACCGCATATTAAAGATAATACAGGTGCTGTGGTGGAGGACCCTAAATCTGTTAACACAGTTTTTTCTACTTTTTACAAGACTCTGTACAGTTCAGAATTTTCTTCAGATGTGAGAGACATGAATAATTTTCTAGATGACCTTGATTTTCTTATCTTGAACCAGGAATCGGCTGCTCTATTAGATTCGGAATTGACTGTCCCGGAACTATTCCTTGCTTTACGAAGCATGAGCAATCTCAAAGCCCCGGGCGCAGATGGTTATCCGGTTGAATTCTTCAAAACTTTTCAGACAAAACTTATTCCTTTATTGCACTCTGTATATGTCGAATCTCTATCTTTTGGTAGCCTTCCTCCTACATTGAGACAGGCCTCAATTAGCCTCTTACTAAAAAAGGATAAAGATCCTGATCTTTGTACTTCGTTTAGACCTATTTCTTTAATGAATGTGGATGCAAAAATTCTGGCAAAAGCTTTGGCTCGCCGCTTGGAAAAGTCACTACCAGTGATTATCTCAAAAGAACAGACAGGCCCTATAAAGGGGCGACAACTTTTTTATAACATTCGTACTCTATCAAATGTCATACACTCAAAAGACGCCAATGCCGTTCCTGAAGTTGTAATAACAATCGACGCTGAAAAGGCGTTCGATAGAGTTGAATGGCGCTATTTATTTGCGATGATAGGAATCAGACTCAGGCAAAACGGGATCTTTGTACGACAAAGCCTCCTGGCTGGTTTATTCACAAAATGGTCGTTAATTTCAGGCAGAACAAAAGACACAGATACATTATATATGGAAATCTACGTCATCATAGAAAAGGCCAAACCTTCGGCACCAAATAGCCTAAACAACGAAAGTCTCTGTGGTCCTTGAGACCTCCACAAGGCCAGGTTATTAATACTATTTTGTCTTGCATTTGTCCACCTGTGCAGTACATAGGTCACTGTTTACCACACCCTCCCATTTTATCACATAAACACATGTGATAATAGAAATACAAAAACAACAAAAATAAATCAATCAATCAACAACTGATTCTTAACTTGCAAAAAAAAATACACACAAAAAATAATGATACTAAAAAATAATCACTTTCACTATATAATCATGAATTTAGCTGATTTTATAATTCAAACAATAACAAAAATCTCTATTGGACACCAGAACCAAGCTGATATGAGTCATAGAGCAGGCGGGACTGAGCATTAAGAATCAAATATAAAATTAATTACTCACTTCATCCTAATGTGAAGTCTTAATATTAATTGCTACATTAACCTAAACGTTTTGATTTTACACTGTACACCTGTACAGCTATTATCTTATACTATTTTAAAACACTAATATGATTATTTTGCAAAGCTATGTACAATTTCTGTTGAATTTGCATCTTAGTGGAACATATAGCTAATAAATCTCACTATCGGACTCCATCTCGTCCTCTTCTTCTAGACAGTAGTTTACACTCATCATTAGCGGCATTGTGTTAATATACTGTTTGGAAATTGCAGCTGCAATCAAACGCTCAATCAGATGTCTAAGGCATGGAACTACACAACATCCTCCCAGGATTAAAACTGTGAACACAATTAGGCAAGTGCTTAAAATTGACATTATTATGGGGGTCAAGGATCCGAATAGACTATTGAACCAGGCTATCCAAGTGCTATCTTGTGTTCCTGAGTTCTTTGTGACTTCCTCGGACAAGAGTCTAAGGTTATTTATGGCTCTGGAGATGCTACCGTCTGGCGCAGTATTATTGGGAATAAACGTACAGCATTTGTCTTGGAAAAAATGGCACACTCCCGAGCTACTTGCTAGAATCATGTCTAGGGCTAATCTATTTTGCCAGGCCATCAATGAGGTTGGTGCCAATTGCTCTGAAATGCTCTCAAGTGCGCCAATTGTATAGTTGATGAATCTCTGTTGGTTGTAATATATGTAATTGATCCAGGCTACATTCATGTTGGAGGTGGGCCAGCTAAACAAGATTGAGGCTAGTCCCCTAGTTATTTCGTTTTGAGCCTTGAATTCATCTGGCACACCTACAGGAACCCCGGCCCAATTTAACCATACTCCCTTGTCAAATGAGCCTAAAGGCCTGTCTGTCTCTCTGAGGGGCAATACACTACGTTTGCTACGTGGATAAGAATCAAGCAATTTAGTTTTAAGCATGGGTTCTGACTCGTCTATGAGTGACATTGGAGCTAGAATGAATGGAACGATGAGGGAAACGACAGCACACTGTCCTTTCCATGATTTTGGCAGAATAGCTCTTAAAGTTAGATCACCACACAGCCACCACAGGTCAGCCCTTGGAAGACACTGTTGGAATAGGGCTTGACGATAGTTATCTATACTAGCAGCTTTAGTTATAGTATCACAGTAACCATGGGGGAAGATTCCTAAGTGGATGGCAGAAGCACTACTATCTCTGTTTGTGATGCAATGATAACCATTGGTTTCAACTGTGTGTGTGAATGGGACGTCCTTCTGGGAAATAATGGGTACATTTTAGTCAAATGTGTGCAATCTGGATCATTTTTGGTGAGACCGAGAACATTGAAAATACACATCTATTTGAGTCTGTGGTATTTGGGAAAGGTGTAGCGGTCAATTGAGGTCTGGCTGCAGCACACGCAAAGCAGGACTCATTCGTCAATGAGTGCGCAGTATACTGAAGCCATTTAAGCCATAAGTTCATATTTATGTCTGTGCCAATCTCTATCTTAATTACATCCTCAAGTGAGAGTTCTGAGAGGTATTTTGGCCTTTCTTTACTTTCCATTTTAAGTTTAGCTAGGTCTACAGGTTTTATGGTTGGTTTTGGTTCGTCCGTGACTTGGATAGTTAGAAGTCCCATTTTTTGGTTTCTAGGGGAGATGTAAGATCCAAATACATATGTACCATTATCAGATTTACTGGGGTTTTTGAGAGTAATGATTACAGGGTCACATATATCTCCAGGTGCTTCTTTAGCCTTAATGATAGATAGCCTATGTTTTAGGTCACTTTGAGAATGGTAGCCCCAATCAGTTCCGGTATTAGCAATTGTATAAGCCCAAGATTCACAATTACAACCACGAGAGATTCCTGAACTGCCCCATACGCCTCTTGCAATGTAGCATGCATTGGTAGTTATACATAAAAACTTTTCATATTGTTTGTATTCACAGGGATTTGAACATGAGTGAATTTGGCAAGAATCTAATAAAACCGTGCATTGTTTTCCCTACCTGACAAACCATTTTAACTGTTGGTGCTCTGTCCCCAGGACTAAAATGTCCGATGCTCCTGCCTGCTCTCTGTCTCATACCTTGTGAAGTTATTGCATTTGGCAGATCAAGAGTTGTGATCCCGCTTGCAGCTGTGGTCACAGTTGGTTTTTCAGTCTGCTGGTTCTCGTATGGCAAATCGCGGTGTCCAACAGGTTGTTCAACAGATATCCAGCAAACTAGGGACACACACAAAAAAGAAAACATCATGAGTACATATTTCCATTTAAAACTCATCAAAGGTGGGGTTTTAATCACAAAAACATTACTTCCCCCGTTTTTCCAACTCTCCAGGGTCCCCTGAGAGTGCGTCCGGGGTCTCGGTTGATCGGTCATCAGTTGAGGTTGTATTTCGAGCGACGTCATCTTGGACCTCTGCCAGGGTGCGTTCCGTCTGGTCACTCGGGCTGCGAATGCAGTGTTCAAGATGGTACCAGTACTTCACACCGGCTCGATCGACCTGAACAGACCTCCCTGTGCAATTAGTCACTTTATATGGTCCTGTCTGGTATGGCTGAGTCCATTTGGATCTATTCTGAACTTTGATGAATATCCAATCACCAGGTTTAACAATGGGGTCAATGTCATCTGTCTGTCTCAATTGGTTAGTTTGTCGTCTGCACTCGGACAACTGAGAAACAATTGTCCTGAGCTCAGACAAATATTGCTGGTGGATCCAGTCCCATTCGACAAAGGGGGCTTCAGCATTGAGTGGACCAATCGGCCTGTGCATTTCTCTCCCAGTCAATAACATGTGTGGAGAGTAACTTGTTGACTTGTTCACGCTATTCCTGATGTCCATCAGCACAAGAGGAAGAGCAGTGACCCAGTCAAGTTTTGAAGTCTGCCAAACCTTAGCTAGCTTACGTTTGATGGTTGCATTCATGCGTTCAACTTGACCCTGAGATTTTGGATGGTAAACACAACCAAATTTTTGTGAAATCCCGAGAGTTTTTCAACACGTCACGCACAATCTTAGCTGTAAAATGTCTGCCATTATCAGATCTGATCTGATAAGGGCAGCCGAATCTACAGATTACATCACGCATTAGATGTTTTACAACTTCTGCCGCGGTTTCGGTTCGACACGGAAAGGCTTCTACCCACTTAGTATATTCGCAAACGATAACTAAAAGATATCGAAAACCTCTAACACGCCTGTCAGGACCCATGTCTGTAAAGTCCATGACAATTTTTTCAAAGGGCGAATTGGGCATGATGAAAGTGCCAGGTGGGGGTTTGCAAGTCTTCTTGGGATTCATGGTTTGGCAAGTGTGGCAATTGTTGATTCGATATTGAAGCATTTCTTTCATATTTGGATGCCACCATGGTTCCATGAGACGAATCATAGAGTTGACGCTTCTGTGCAGCGGGCTGTGGTATTCTTCAAACAACATTTGTATAAGTGCGGCGGGTGCCGCAATACACGACCATCGTGGTTTCTCCAGAGGCCTTCTTCTCCTTTTGTTGCTCCTTTTAGTTTCCATTGATGTTGTTCATATGCCCCAGCTGCGTTTTGAAGTTCTTTCACATATTGGAGATCGATTAAATGTGATTGTGTGTTCAACTCTTGATTTTTTTCTTCTTCTTCTTCTTCTTTGATTCTTTGGTCTGTTCTTTGTCTTCTTGAGCGTTTTGCGTTTCTCTTCTTCTTGAACTTTTTTGGGTTTTTCTTTGTCTTGAGCTTTTTGCGTTTCCTCTTCTTCTTGAACTTCTTTGGGTTTTTCTGGTTTCTGTTGTACGATCATTGTTCTTTTCATGTAGTTGGCAGCCTTTTTTGCAGCTTGGTCTGCAGCTTGGTTTCCTTTGGAGATCATGTCTCTCCTTGTGTATGTGCTCTGCATTTATGATGGCCAGTTTGCTTGGTAGGTTCACTGCATCAATCAGATGTCTCACAAGAACTTCATGTTTTACCGGCAGTCCATTTATCAGTTTGAAGCCATTTCTTATCCATCCAGGAATTGAGATTGTCAATGTTGTCAATTGTCGGTATAGATGTTCGCAGTCCGTCCACTGGCGAGTTGTAGTGCTCGCAGCAGACCTGTAAGTTCAGCCACTTGAGCAGATCCTTGCTCCACTTGTCTTGCTTCCAATACTCTGTGCTCTCCATTTTCCTTTTGTGAGACGACAGCGTATGATGAGATGGTTTCTCCAGTTTGCGCTCTGTATGAGCAGCCATCGCAGAAGAGTGTCATTTCAGCATTTGGAATTGGCTCAAATTGAAGATCAGCTCTTACATATAGTTCAGTCTTCGCCAGTTCTTCACAGATATGGTCCGTGCTGTTGCTTTCAGAGTCATTGATCATATGCATGGCCATGTTGATGTTTCCGCTGGCATAGGTGATGTGAGGTTGACGAAGCGTCTGAGTGATGTTGGCAGTTCTTTGGGCTGTGGTGATGAACAGTTTTGAGTTCAAGTATGCTTGGATCCCATGGTTTGTGTGTACCACAAGAGGGTGGTTTTGAACCAGATGTGCTGTCTTCATGATTGTTTTGGTCAATGCTGCTGCCAGATATCTTGCACATCCAGGTTGGGCTTGGTCGTGTGGATCAAGTTTGCAAGAGTAGTGTTTCAGAACTCTTCTTTCTCCTTTTTTCTGCTGATACAATATTCCATAGACATAGAATTGTGATTCAGCCACATCAAGATGAAACGGCAGTGTGTAGTCTGGCACATACAGTGCACAGGCGTTACAGACGGCTTGCTTTGTTCTTGTAAAGGAGTTTTCTGCTTCCGTGGTCCAAGTTAAACTTGCAGTTGGTTGGTTCATGCCATGGGGTTTGATCAGTTCTCTTAGAGGTGCAGTCATTGCGGTATAGTTGGGTACATATTCTCGACTGTAGTTGCAAAGTCCGAGAAAACTCAGCATTTGTCGCACCGTTTGTGGTTTTGGTGTCTTCAGAATTGCGTCTTTGTTGGAGTCTGAGACTCCCTGTCCAACTGCAGAAACCTCTCTTCCCAAGAAGTACACAGATCTTCGGCACATTTGGATTTTCTCCCGCTTCACTTTATAGCCTTTTCTTGCCAGGTGTGTGAGCAGATCAGTGGATGCTTGTAAAACGGACCTTGCATCTGGTCCTGAAATAGCCAGATCATCCACATATTGTATGAGAGTGCACTTCTCAGGAAGGTTAAACTCAGCCAGATCCAGACGTAGGAAATGGTTGAAGTACCCGGGGGACAGTTTCCATCCTTGGGGCATCCGACAGTAAGTGTATTGTCTCCCCTTCACGGTGAAGGCAAAGTACTTCTGAGATTCTGGATGCAGTTTGATTGTGAAGAAGGCGTTGGCCAGATCAATTACTGTGAAGTACTTGTCGTTTGGAGAAAGGTTGTTCAGTGCGATGTATGGGTCTGGAACAGGGTACGATTCATCAGCTGTTACTTCATTTAGGGGTCTGAAGTCTTGGACCATGCGCCCGTTCTTCAAATCTGACTTCTTCACTGGAAATAGTGGGGTGTTATACTCTGATGTAGTTCCTCTTATAACACCTGCTTTCAACAGTCCTTCAATGGTTTGTGCGATCCCTTGCACTTGTTCTTGTTTCAAGGGGTATTGTGCTCTGTATACTGGAGTGTCAGTTGTCAGTTTGACTTTCACAACATGCGATGTGCATCCCACATCATTGGCATGTGTCATCCATATGTTAGCTGGGACTGCATCCAAGTATCGTTGAGCGTCTGGGTGATTTTCAAAAGTTCTGTGACGCGATTCCTTCAAAGCTCTGGTTATGTCCGTTGACCCGTCTGGCAGTGTGATCCTGAAAATGCCATGTTGTCCATTGTAGGACACTCCAGGGTTGTCGGTTGGTGCATATATCAAAGTGTTTGCCAACTTCACCATTGATCCAAGGGACTTTGCAGTATGGTACTTGGAAACGGCCAACGTCACATGTGGGTCCATGTCGGTTGTTTCGACTAATAGGGCTTCACTTCATCTGGAAGAGTCACAGACAGGGCCATGCCTTTGGGACCACAGTAGATGTATGGGTATGTTACATGGAATGTTTGCCCTTGCACATTGTCCCACAATTCTTCATAACTCTCATCTTCTTGAGTGGTACAGTACAGCGTGGCATGCAGTGGGTCAAACGGTTCTCTCAAGGGGAAATTGGATTTTGCCCATAGCTTGTATCGTTGCCAGAGTGTTGAGGCTGTATTACCATGCTCTGGATCCGTCAGTACTTGAAGCCAGTGGATATCGATAGGTGTCTTCAGATCTTCTGCGACATCTGGTGAGAGATACAATATCTGTGCATGCTTGTTTTTCTCCCAAGACCGTATTAGTTGCAATGTTTCAGGCTTGTTCATGAGTTTGTATCCTTCAGGGCAGAAGAATAGGGAGAAGGACAACTTGCACATCAGTTCACGGCCACACAGAGAGATGCCACAGTTTGGTAGATACAAAAAAGAGTGATGAACAGTTTCATGGTGTGATTTTACTTCCAATGGAACAGTAAATGGTTTGCTTTCAGGTTTCCCCACACAGCCAGAGATGGACATTGATTCAGAGGACAGTGGAAACTTGTGTGTGATGCATGACACAGTTGCACCAGAGTCGACCATGAACTTGATCTCTCGTCCATTCACCTCGAGGACCACCATTGGCTCACTCCGCCAGTTGTGGAGTGAGTGGCTCTCTTGCTGTTGGCCCCGTCAATAAGAGCCTCCAGGCCCATCCTGGTACTGTGTGTACGAGTTTCCACGCATACTCATGTTTTGTTCAGGCGGGGGTGGGGGCTGTGGCATGTCATTGGGCGTCCACATCTGCTGCTGTCCGTTGTAGGGTCCGGAGAATTGCGGTTGGTTTCGTCGCCGGCCATTAAATTGGTTCCGGGGTGGGTTTCGTACCACTTGTTAGGGCATGTGTTTGCCCAGTGTCCATATTGGTGGCATATCAAGCATTGATCTCCAGATATTTGACGATTGCCTCTTTGTCCTTGAAATCCTCTCCCTCTACTCCTTCCTCTGGAGTTCCCCCTGTATCCTCTCTGAGCCGGTCTCTGTGTCAAAAGGAGCTTTACAACGTCCACCATCTGTTCAGCTTGCTCTTTTCCTTTTTGATTCTGGTCATTGTCCTCAACATTGACCTGTGATCCGTCCACTCCAACTTTCATCACATTTGCGGCCTTGTTTTTACTCTTTTGTGCTTCCACCTCTTCTTTAAGTTTCTTGTTTTGTAGCTTGATGTTAGACACCTCCACTTTTTGAGTTTCTTCTTTATTATTCTCTCTTTCATTTTGATAGAGGGTCACATAGTGGTTCAGTTTTTATCAAAGTCTTCTTCGGTCAGTGTGTACAGTCCAACAACATGAGAAAGACTTTGTTGTACTGATTTTGGCATTCCTTTGACCATTGTGTTGAACAGGATGAATGTACTTGTTGTTCCTGGTTGCACTGCTTCCCCAGTTGCATCATAGAATAAGGCCTTGGCTCTGCGCTTGTACTCAAAGTACTCTTCATCTTCTTTCATCTTCAGCGAAAGTAATTCTTCTGGAACGCATGTTTGAAACATTTCTCTCAGAATTGACAGCAGCGGTCCTTTCATGGTGGTAAAGGACAGGGTATGGTTGAATGGTCCAATGCGTTTTGTTAGCTCCGCCCGTACTTTCTTGGTAGTGGCTTCATCAGTATTTCTGGTGATTATAGAAGAGACGTCTCCCCAGCACAATATTTCACCAGCTGTGTGCGTCGTCAGTGCCCTCATAAATGCAGGTGCTCCTTTTGTCAGCTTTGGCAATTTCAGCATTAGTCCTTCAATGTCTTTCAATGCAAATGGCTGATACACTTGCTGGCGACCCGCAGCCTCTCTTAGTGGAAAGAGAAAGGTTGTTGCTCTTCCCGCTTCATCTTCTTCTAGCAGTGAGTGATTTGGGTCAAAAAATGGGTTGACATGCCCACTCACGAAGGCTCCCTCATGCTGTTGGTCTTCAACCAGGCCGGTAAACTCCCCTGCAACATAGTGGTCTCTTGTCTCTGGACGGAAGGGGTTGTGGCCTGTCCTCAGTCGGTTCTCTATGCCTCTTCTTATATGCATTTCACGACTGGTTTGGGTGTGCTTTGGTTCTTTGTCCATTAAACAAATGAGTTCTTCTTTTTCTTTGTTCATGTTTTTCATTGTCTTGGTCTTTGACTTCCTCCATATTTCTTCTTCTTTTTTCCGCAGTTGAGGAATCCCCACTTCTTCATGTTCATCTTCTTCAGAGGTTTGGTTGTGAACACTTTGTGCTTGTTGACTGACCAGTGCTGTCAGTGTCTTGACTTGTTTCGCTAGTTCTTGCACATCTTCACGATCGCCTCTGGATGGAACCATAGAGAGGGTGCCACCCAACACTGTGTGTTCAACTGGTTCTGGGAAATCTTCTTGGGCTGTGGCTTTTGGGAGTTCCACTTGTGTGTATTCTGGTCTTGCAGATCTCTTGAAACGAGGGGGGGAACATGGAGTTGACGATGAATACTGGGTACTCAAGTCCTTTAGTGACCTGCTCAGTTGCTTGTAGCTGTGCTTCTCCTTGTGATATGCTTCCATGTCTTCAGGCTCGGAAGCCGGGTACAGAAGTTCATCATTTATCCGTGGAAGGGGCGTCTGGGTCTCCCTCATGAGCATTTTTCCTTTAATTCTTCTTCTCTGAGTAGCTTCAACATCACACTCCTCCTCCGTATCATCATGGAGGTCCTTGTACACGGTACCAGACCTGAGGCGTCCTGGGTCTGCAGAATGTGCCTCCTGAGTTTTCAGCGTCACCGACTTCTTTCTCTGCTTGTATGGTTGATCCTCTTGAGTGCCCTCCTTCAGGACAAGGATACGTGTCATTTTTCGTTCTTCACATTTTTCGGCAATCTTCTTCGCAATGTCATACAGCTCCAATGCAAAGTTCTTCAGCTCCTCATGCTTCCTGATCTTTGCTTCATCAGTCACGTAGCCTCTTCTGGTGAGTACTGGATGGGTGCGATGATGCAATACTTTGCCTTGGTGATATTGTGAAATGTTTTCCCATTGCTTTTTGGTCGGAGCCAGGGCATCTTCGCCACGAGAAATTTGTTTCTTCGCTGCATACTTTTTGAACAGCTTCTTCATCAGTAAAATCTTTCTTTGTTCTTCCTTTAATGGCTCTTCCTTGATGTGTATGTAATGTTCTGCCTCCCTCAGAAATGTGTCCATCTTAAATTATAATAATAATGAGTAATGATATACGATTGTTGCATAATAACATTGATAATGATTATAATAAAGATGATGATGGTGATAATAGAAATAAAGTATAACATCCGCAATAATAAAATTAATAACTGCAACAATAAATAAGCTTGTTTGGATTGAATTTAAATGTTATATATATATTTATATGTATATGTTTAAATTTACTATTATATGTTTATAATTATTGTTTGTGTGAATGTATGTATATATGCATGAATATATATGTGTATGTATGTATGTGTAGATATACACTTTGTCTTTCCTTCTCCCCCTCTTCTGTACATAAGAAAAGATTTCTGTAATTCCACATTCACTCTCATGCACACACATGCACACACTCACTCACACACACACACACACATGCGCGTGCGTGCAACAATTGCTTTTTCTTTCTTGTTGGTCTCACTGTCCTCTCTCCCCTCTTTGTATAGATTCTCCTCTTACGTTGTAAATATCACTGAAACTGATCACCTATGTTGTCTTTGTTGTCTATGTTTGTTTCTTGTTTGTCGTATTGTATGTATTGTATTGTATGTTTTGTATGTCTATTCTCAACAATAAATGAAAAAAAAAAAAAAAAGAAAAAAAGAAATGTGTCCATCTTCATGAAAGACATTGTTTTTTTGCAAAAATCAAAATAAAATAACGTAAAATAAAATAAAATAAAATAAAGAGTGAAAATAAAAAGGATGTCAAAATAAACTCAACACCAAGGCAAAAGGTGGAGAAAAATAAAATAAATAATAATAATAAACAAAACAAATTAAAATTAAAAAAAATTAAATTAAAAATCCAAAATCCAGAACAAAAATAAAAAATAAAAATACAATGTAAATAAAATAAAATATGGTTTCCAAGTACACTGTTTTTGGGGACCAAAACTTAATTGAACGGGAAATGTTGACTCAAATTGTGACTGGAAAATCAAACAGACAAAAACCAAAAATGTATATTATTTGTAAAAAACAAAACATGAAAAGTGATTTAAACAACTATATAAAATAAAATAAAATAGAATAGAGCCCAGCTAGACTGGATTTTGTATGGGTATGGTCAACACAAAACGCAAACAAACTGACCGACGCGCAAGACTGGCACTGATATTATTCGCTTTTAAAACAAAACAAAACAATTATTCCCGTTATTTGATAAACCAAATGCTAATAAATGCTCCTTGTATTTGCATTTATTTATTTGAATGTGACAGTATTGAAACTGGAATTTATGCAAAATAAAGGTTATTAAGTGTCAAAGTAGAAAATACACTTCTTTTTATTCAATTATTATTTTTTATTCTACACTGATCTTTGAAAATGTGGAAAATACAAATGTGCTTTGTATAGAAAATGCACCCGCAGAAAAGAGCTGTTTTATTATGGAAGCCAAAACAAAACAAAATGACTAAAGATTCAACAGTTTTGGGGATTAAAGTCAAAAAGCAATTTAAGTTCTATATTCTACCCACTTCAACATTTAGATTAGCAATTATTGTTCAACTGCGTTTAAACATAAAATGAAAACAAATCAAAAATGAAAGAATAAAAATAAAACTCTGATGCCGTACGGCAATGCAATTTTGGCCTGGACCGTACTTTCTCAAAACAAACCTAACCAGAAGATGCCAGAGTACTTTGAAATAAAATTGTAGCGTTTACTTTTCTAACTCAATGCTTTGAATTCTAAAAACCATAAATGAATGCAGAAAAATAATTTGTAAAGCCTTGTATCTACATATAATAAAAATAGCTGAAGTGCAGAAAGAGAAACAGCCGACAGAGAAATACCAACAGTTCGGGCACAGAATAATAGCAGAAATAACTTGATATTCTTTTTTTTTTTTTTAACAATTCGAATTATCGCTCACAAAAATATATTTTTGATACAGTGAGCCAAAAATGTAGCCAAATGCAAAGTGTATATTTCAAGAATTGCCAGATTACAAAAAATAAATTCTAACATTTTGAGTTAAAAACAAGAAAAATAAAATTAATAATAAAAATAAAATGGAATATGTAAGTGAACACGTTTTTTTAGATGCACACAAACGAATAGAAACAGATTATTGTATTTTGAGAAGTGGCAGGTGTTTTGGAGCCGTTCCCGCACTCCCACGCGCTCACGGCTCGACTTTGATAAAACGCATGCAAGAATTCCCACAACCAAGCGAAAAGGGGAAAAATTTAAAGATTTAATGCATTGCTGTTATTTACCAATATTCTTTCAGACTAAAAAGTCAATATTCATGCACTTTTAACAAGGATACTTTAATTATTTCAACTATGTTTTTTGTAATGGGAGGACATAGGAATCATACAAACTCTTACAACCAATTTAAACGATATAACAGCAATGCAAAAGTAAAAGCAAGATCAGAGCGAGAAATTCAAAGAATATGGTGAAGCGTTCTTAGTTCTACAACTATGAAAAATAAACATAAGATAAACATAAAAATGAACAAGCCAAATCTGTTGAGTACTTGCGTTTAAAACTTTCTAAAACCCAACATTTAAACTCCATCCATTTTTCCATCCATCCATTTTCTACCCTTTAATCCATTTCTGGGTCAGGGGGGTGGCAGTCAGAGA